ATATATATATATATATATTGAATGTATTTATATATATGTACATGTACTGTATATGTGTGAGGCTGTACATACACATATGTAGTTGTTTTTTGGTGTTTGGCTTCGTGTTATGTTAGAATCATTATTATACTCATACCTTTTGTTCTTTTAATATTTTGAATTGTTTTTAGCTTTATTTTTTTGTTTTCATTTAAATGTTTTAGTTTAGAAATGTTGTATGCATTTGTCATTTTTATTTAATTTCTTTTATTTTCTTATGCGTGTATATATATATATATATATAGTATTTATAGAGTTTTAGCTTTAATTACTTTTGCTTATTTGTAAGTCGCTTTGGATAAAAGCGTCTACTAAATGACTAAAAGTAAAGTAAAGTGAGAAAAGAGCTGAGGTGAGCTAATCATAGGCTGAAGACCCAGCAGGTAAACATTGAATTCATCTTTTCTGTTTCTTATAGCATTATAGTTTTGTATTGTTTGTAGTGTGATCAGCGTTTGCGTAAGTAGTAGTCGTGTTAGGGAAGTAACACGTAACATTTTAATTATATTTTGCTCAAATGAACGAAAGGACTCGAAAAAGAGATTCGTTCATTGTGCTGCACGAGCCTCAGAGAGCCGAGTCGGAGAAATGATCCGAACTGCCATCACCAGCTTACATTTTACATACGTCATAATCGCGGGAAACCGGCAGGTTTGGTTAAATCAGTGCCCCCCCCCCCCAGCAGCTCTCCGCGTAACGGTCGCGCACATCTACAGGCGCTCGAGCGCTGCGTGACGCAAATGGCGCGCAATACGTGTCCTCCTCGTTGTTTACACTGTCAGGTCAGCGGCTCACAACGAGCCGCAATCAGTACATCAAACGAGAGTGACCGAAGAGAAGTGCTTCTTGGGTAAAATGAGGGAAATATCGAAGAACTCAGGCGCGTGACTTTTCCTCCACTTCGCATGCGAAGAAAACGTGGGTGCGACGTCGTCTGCGAACTTGACGCTCACCGCTGTGTTTGGTTTAAGACAGCAGGCGAACAAAACCGCTTTGCGATACGAACTGCGTAACACAACAACGAGCCAGGCCCTCAAAATAAAGTTGCTTGGCATCTTAAATTGCTGTTTTGACATTACATTGTTCAGTCGCCGACGACGATGCGCAACAACAGCAAACCATTTGATTGGGTGAGAGCCCTGCCTGACGCGAGCTCCGGCGTTCTGATTGGTTCGCGCACCTGTCAGTCAAACTCCGACGCTCCGCGGCCTCCGCTCGGCCTACTCCTCGCTGCACGGGACTACCGTAATTACGAGGCGAACAAAAGTCTCCCAGCTATTTAAGAAGCACAAACGCGCATTTATCGCGATCTGCTTCAGAAGCATGACCGGAGCTGCTGACACTTTGCATGAATGCACTATTTGACAAAATCACTTCCATGCGTCCCATTAGCATCAACCAAGGGAACACATGCGTGGAGGCAAGTTTCGTTTAAACAGAATAGCATCATCTCATAAAAATGATACATTTCACAATTACAACAAAGAAAACGTCCAAGACAGCTACTTGGTATTTTGTAATACATAATCAGAGCGCCGTTTACCTTTATTGCTGATAAATGTACTCCGACGCCGAAGAAAGCAAGTCCGCACGCGTTTAAGCCGCATGCTTTGAGCGCGCAGCGCATCCACGCAGTTTGTTTTCTCCGGCGCGAGCAGCAGGCCGGTGTCCGCGAGGTGGAGTCTGTCTGCGCATGCGCGCACCGAATAGTCCTCGCCGTTTCCTCCTCATTTTGAGGGTTTTACACGCTTCCCATCAAAAGGTGACGGAATAGTTTAGTTTATTAAATAACGCGATTCATTTGTACTCTAATCACGCGACAAAATCGATTGAGTAATACAAGAGACTAACGTATGCATGCCTTATTTTATTTACACCCCAAATGATCTTGGCCACAATAGCAATGGACAAAAAAACTTGTTTAAAACGCATATGGCCAGTTCATAGAAAAGCAGTTTTTGCATTTATTTTGTTTCATGCTTTTTGAAAAACGTGGATACAGTTATACTGTAGGCAGACTGTGCATAGAGCATTTCTAGAATGTACTCATTAGTTAAATCTGTTGCTGTGGTGTGGTGTTGCATGTACACCACTAGGTGTTAGTATAAGATACCTGTCATGTCAACACAATAAATATGCAGTCACAGTCAACCTTCAGTTCAGAAATGTCAAATATGTCCAGTGTGTGTTCTCAAGTGAACGTCTGTATGATTTTGTCCCTTTTCATGTTTCTTTAATAGCCCTGGACACAAAATAGACCTCCATTGGCTCAGTGGCTTGATTGCACAATCAAACTGACATCGAAGCAGCATATGCAGAACACATCACATATGATTATGATTAGATGACTACCCAAATTGAGCAAAGACGACGAGGGCAATGGACTGACAGGTAAGAGCTGACAAATACACCAGGCGCCGAATGAACAGCATTGCTCTATGACTGGCATGAGAAATCCTGTGTAATGACATTTGAGCCTGTTTAGAATGAAACTGAGCTCGATTGCAAAAAAAAAAAAGGACCTGGAAAGAAAAGTATTCTGTTTGGCGCAGAACAAATACAGCTCAATACCCAGAAAATCAAAACGTGGTTATATGTGTGGCCACAGGTCATTCATAAAGGATTGTTGTTTGAGCTTTAGTATCGTTTCCAGATTATGACAAATTTGCATTACTTCAGTTGGTAACAGTACTGGAGGAGATTGCTGACAAGAGGTCAGTAGAGCTCAAAGTAGCTTTTTTCCTTCCTATTCTTTTGAGAGGTTTGTAGATGCTCTCAAGTATATTATTCATTGAATCTAATCTAATATATATATATATATATATATATAATAGTTGGTAACAGTACTGGAGGAGATTGCTGACAAGAGGTCAGTAGAGCTCAAAGTAGCTTTTTTCCTTTCTATTCTTTTGAGAGGTTTGTAGATGCTCTCAAGTATATTATTCATTGAATCTAATATATATATATATATATATATATTTTTTTTTGCAATACAGTGACTAAACTAGTGAATATCCTTCTATTTTCATCATATTACAAACTAAGCACCATATGAGCCAATCATTCTATTCATTTTGGGGTGAAATGAAAAAATACGATCTGAAAATACTTATATATACAGTGGGTACGGAAAGTATTCAGACCCCTTTACATTTTTCACTCTTTGTTATATTGCAGCCATTTGCTAAAATCATTTAAGTTAATTGTTTTCTCATTAATGTACACACAGCACCCCATATTGACAGAAAAACACAGAATTGTTGACATTTTTGCAGATTTATTAAAAAAGAAAAACTGAAATATCACATGGTCGTAAGTATTCAGACCCTTTGCTCAGTATTTAGTAGAAGCACCCTTTTGGTCGAATACAGCCATGAGTCTTTTTGGGAAAGATGCAACAAGTTTTTCACACCTGGATTTGGGGATCCTCTGCCATTCCTCCTTGCAGATCCTCTCCAGTTCTGTCAGGTTGGATGGTAAACGTTGGTGGACAGCCATTTTTAGGTCTCTCCAGAGATGCTCAATTGGGTTTAAGTCAGGGCTCTGGCTGGGCCATTCAAGAACAGTCACAGAGTTGTTGTAAAGCCACTCCTTCGTTATTTTAGCTGTGTGCGTAGGGCCATTGTCTTGTTGGAAGGTAAACCTTCGGCCCAATCTGAGGTCCTGAGCTCTCTGGAGAAGGTTTTCGTCCAGGATATCCCAGTACTTGGCCGCATTCATCTTTCCCTCAATTGCAACCAGTCGTCCTGTCCCTGCAGCTGAAAAACACCCCCACAGCATGATGCTGCCACAACCATGCTTCACTGTTGGGACTGTATTGGACAGGTGATGAGCAGTGCCTGGTTTTCTCCACACATACCGCTTAGAATTAAGGCCAAAAAGTTCTATCTTGGCCTCATCCGACCAGAGAATCTTATTTCTCACCATCTCACAACTCCATGCGGGCTTTCATGTGTCTTGCACTGAGGAGAGGCTTCCGTCGGGCCACTCTGCCATAAAGCCCCGACTGGTGGAGGGCTGCAGTGATGGTTGACTTTCTACAACTTTCTCCCATCTCCCGACTGCATCTCTGGAGCTCAGCCACACTGATCTTTGGGTTCTTCTTTACCTCTCTCACCAAGGCTCTTCCCCCCCGATAGCTCAGTTTGGCCGGACGGCCAGCTCTAGGAAGGGTTCTGGTCATCCCAAACGTCTTCCATTTAAGGAATGGAGGCCACTGTGCTCTTGGGAACCTTAAGTGCAGCAGAAATTTTTTTTGTAACCTTGGCCAGATCTGTGCCTTGCCACAATTCTGTCTCTGAGCTCTTCAGGCAGTTCCTTTGACCTCATGATTCTCATTTGCTCTGACATGCACTGTGAGCAGTAAGGTCTTATATAGACAGGTGTGTGGCTTTCCAAATCAAGTCCAATCAGTATAATCAAACACAGCTAAACTCAAATTAAGGTGTAGAACCATCTCAAGGAAGATCAGAAGAAATGGACAGCACCTGAGTTAAATATACGAGTGTCACAGCAAAGGGTCTGAATACTTAGGACCATGTGATATTTCAGTTTTTCTTTTTTAATAAATCTGCAAAAATGTCAACAATTCTGTGTTTTTCTGTCAATATGGGGTGCTGTGTGTACATTAATGAGGAAAAAAAATTGCTGTATTCGATCAAAAGGGTGCTTCTACTAAATACTGAGCAAAGGGTCTGAATACTTAGGACCATGTGATTATTTCAGTTTTTCTTTTTTAATAAATCTGCAAAAATGTCAACAATTCTGTGTTTTTCTGTCAATATGGGGTGCTGTGTGTACATTGAGGAAAAAAAATTAACTTAAATGATTTTAGCAAATGGCTGCAATATAACAAAGAGTGAAAAATTTAAGGGGGTCTGAATACTTTCCGTACCCACTGTATATATATATATATATATATAGTATATCTGAATACTTTGTGACATAGAATTCTCTAGTACAGTGCTTAATGCGTTTCTGCACCTGGCAAACTCTTGCTCTGTCCATATATGGTGGAAAGACAGACAAATTAAGGAAGTGAAACTCCCAACCACTTCTGTACAATTTTACAAATTTTATTAAGGAGTTCTTTATGAAACTATGCAAATTTAAACACACATCATTCATATCATAATTCACTTTCATCTCCTACACCCAACCTCACACAGATAGAACAAAATAAGACACAAAATCCATAAGAAGCATTTACAGTAAGAGTGCCGGAGGAGTATCAGTCTCTGCAGTGATCTTACAGACCCACAGGAAGGGAAAGAAACTGAGGGGGAAGTGCAACATGGGAGGGGCTCACTTACTTTCACCATTCGGCTTTATAAACACAACTATCCATCAGATGAGGGGCTTATATGCAGAAGCACAGGCAGAGCTGATGGAGGATCCCACTTTATATCAATAGCAAATGTGACTGTTTGATTGTATATCAGAGATGAATCATTGAAGTTCAGTTTTGAGTAATGGATCAAGAACAGACTGCATTTTCCACGTTCAGATGCTACCAGTGTTGATGACCTGAAGTCTTCTAAATGCTTAGCTTACACACGATTTCTGTTTCCTGTAATGCACACATTCTCAGCTTTGCCTCAAGGGGCACTAAAGCCAACATTAGCATAAACGGTTTTCTTCTGTGGTCAGTTTTTTTCTGTCAGGTAAACAGCTGACATGGCAGTAATTTTGAAGAGAATCTGAGCACATCAGTTTAATGGCTCAGCCATCTGAAGGTAATCCGTGTCTGAGAGGATTTGAGAGGACTGCCATTTGCCAGCATGCAGTGGTGTCCAAAACTATAGTGATTAGAGTGCTCAACCATTAGAGTGCTCAATCCCATAATGCACTGCAACAACGAGTGCACGACCTGTGTATGCTCAAAGGCTAACCACTAGTAAATACCCATGCACTGTAACGTTAAGTGTCCTGACAGATGAATTCCCGCATCTAATGGCGTATGCTTCCAGCTCACTAGTATTCATTCACTTCTTAAAGTGGACTATATCAGTGGACTAATTTAGGAAATCATGAATGAGAGTAGAGTTATATAAAGGGTATATATCTCCACTGAGTGAATGTAGTATGGCCACAGTAACACAAAAATGTCATCTTATTGAGGTTTAAGTACTTTCCTATATCCCAAAATTATGCAGCGACAAGTATAAGTCCGTCATTTGTAGATTGATTCCCCTGAAAAATTTAAACATGTTTAAACATTTAGACTACTAGCCTGACATGGCAACAGCTCGACCAATGGTGTGAGCTTGGGGCGGAGCTATGTGTTCGTTTAACCAATGGCAGACAGGAGAGGTGTTTAAGGAAATATAAGAGTGTAAGAAAGTCATTAGTCAGTGGCAAATAAATTACATTTGTATGAAAAGACCGCATGGCTGCCTTGGCCAAATATTATTATTATTTTTTTTTTGTATTATTGCATACTTGTGTAGAGTATGTTTCTGGCCTAAGTGTTTATTCAGCCTGGGCAAATCTGAACACAACATTTTTGCCATCCCTTGATGTTGGAGCTGATGGATCAACTGAAACCGAAGGTATGTTCGAAATGAAATTTGTATGTACTACATCCGCCATGTTGTTTCGGTCACATGACCTACCAGCATTGCTTCACTGCCATTCATAAATCTTCTCCTGTGGCCTAATGGGATAATAAAGTGTCTATCAAATGCACACTTCAGGATCCTGGAGGAAGTAGTAGGTCATCCGGGAACTTTTTGCCTACTGTTTTTTGAAAACAATGATTTCAGGCATATTACTCACCTCACATACTGTTTTTCGCATACCATGTAGTAGGGAAGTATGCGATTTTGCACTTTCAGTGTGCCAATGAGCAGCAGCTACCTTGTGAGAGGAGTGGTTCCTGGTTCCAGTCTGGTTCCTGGTTTAACTTGCTACAGAATAGTTCTGCACAATCATCTTGGATGTAGCCAAACCACATCTGGAAATATAATTTTCTATTTCCAAATGGGACGACTGGGAAAACTACAGTGAGAGACTAAATGAAAATTGCTTGTGGTACCAGTTCATTTGGAGTCTATGACGATGCAGAAATGTGGAGGGTGTATTTATGGGCACTTATGCATCTTATACATCATCGATCATTCTCATGTAAGGCACCAGACCTCAAGCTCAAAGCTTGACCACTAGTATTTCAGAGCTGTCTTTGTGATCCACAGCTCTGCAATGTTAATTCACCTTTTCTTGCTTACGCTCAGCCTTATACACACAACTGAAGTCAGAAATTCTCCCTGCACTCATACATGAGCTTAACGGTTGCTATTAAATAATCAGAACACTCATACCTTATTAAATTAAGGAAATATGCTGCAGGTCATTTTGCATGTGTGTTATTACGATTATGATTGTCCAAAGGATGTATTTCCCTGCTAATCAATATAAAAGACAGAAAATAACAAACATCATGCATTTGTTTTGTTGCGGAATCAAACTCAGTCAATTGATTCAGTTCAAATAATGTCTGGCTTCAAGAAGAGTCATGAGAGTCAAGTTCAGGATGATTCACATTGAGGCAAAGCTGGATTAGTTGAGACGTTGTCCGAACTAATATTTGGATGCTTAAAGATGATTCTCTGAGCAGAAGAAGGTCCTGATTCCCATCATCTCTTGGATGATTCAATCTGAACTATGCCGCAAAATAACTAGATTAAGCCCTTGATGAAGCCAGTGTCCAAGTGGACGATGAGTATGCGGAGGAAGGACATCTCTTTCCGTGTGTTTTCAAAGATGATTCGAGGATCATCAGACTGACAGCGCAGGCAGTTTGGAGCCATGACCATCGCCAAATTATTCACGTCCATCTTAGTCCTACTCACATTCACCGGCTGAGCAAAGACCTGGCGTAAGAGAAAGACAGAGCATTGAAATCGGTGTTGTTATTGTTTATGGCACCGCAGGGTTGTGTTCAAATGGCATTACCTGTAAGAAGTTGATGAAGTAGCAGAGCACGAGTCTGTTGAGCTGTGGGAGCGACTGAACCACACTGATGGCTGCATCAGGATCTTCATAGTAACTGATGCACTGCTTATAGAAGCTCTGAGGAATCACCGGCTCCTCCAGCTCCCTGTACCACAACTTCAACAGAGACGCTGACACAGAGAAAGAGAGAGAAACCTTACATTCCTGTCCATATTTTATAGGAATTCGGTAATATTCACACTTTCACACAAATATATGCACTTATAATCTTTAAGTAGTGAGAATATGTTTTGGGATGCAAACGAAAAGTTACTGAGAATGATTGTTCTGTCTTAAAGACCATATTAAATGGTCTGATGAACAATTTTATTTTCTTCTTACAGAAACATTGTTGTAGCACAAAAAAAATCAACAAACTTAACAATTGTATTTAAATTTCAAAGCAAAACTCTAAATTGCTACTTTCTATTAATAATCAATGACAAGTGTTATTAGTGTGAGTGGACTGTAGTCATTCTAGAGAGTATTTGAAAAATGTGTCCAATATTTGAGGTCACCGCTCGCTACATTTTGCTAAGAATTACTGCTAGCACTGCACAAAGAAGGACAGTTTATTGTTCCGTGGCCAGAAAATAAATATTCCTTGAATTGATAAATGATTATATTGTCTGCTCGGTGGACGGACAGATCAAATAATTGTAATATTGATTCTGCTACAGTTAATTCGAAGATATAATCTAAATATTTATTATGAATCATAACCATTTATGATTCGTCATAAATATTCCCCTTTTTAGAGCTAATAAATAATAATAAACGTTACATATTTTTACACAGAGATTGGTAGGTCTGTTAGCAAAATCTGTTGACTTTAGCAATCTTTGTTGCATTATGTGTTAATGGTGACCATTTAAAAATGGGGAAACAGCACTTTTCAAGTTTATTCTCCAAAGTTTGCAGACCTGTAACTAAAAAAGTATTAAAAATATCTTAATGTCCTTTTAGATATTGGGTCTTAACAAACTTTCCTTTTGGTATCTTCATTTGTAAGGCCCTATATCAGGGGTGGCGAACGTCGGTCCTGGAGAGCCGCAGCCCTGCAGAGTTTTGCTTCAACCCTAATCAAACACACCTGAACAAACTAATCAAGGTCTGAAGGGTTACTAGAAAGCTACAGGCAGGTGAGTTTTAATTAGGGTTGGAGCTGTAGTCTGCAGGGCTGCGGCTCTTCAGGACCGGAGTTCGCCACTGCTGCCCTATATGGTTTGGTTCCAGAGACATTTGGATCTCAATATGGCTCCAGGGGTAAATCATCAAATTGTACACATCAATGGTCAAAAACAAAATGTGGGTCACTTTGCAAAAATATGATACTTCTTTTGTTTTAAATAGAAATGTCTGAAGAACAAAATGTTGAAACTAGATATGTATCTTGTTTCTTTGTCAAAACAACTGCATTGAACATGCCTGTCTGAGTGCCATAAATATTATTTTTCCAAAGTCTGCGTGCCTATAACTCAAGAAGTATTAAAGATATTGCCATATGATTTTAGATTCTAGTTCTTAATACAATTTTCTTTTGGAATCTTCATTTTCAAGGCCCTACATCGTTTAATCCCAAAGATATAGGGAACTCAATGAGGCTCCATTTACAGATTGTTGAATATTACCCATTTTCAGCGCTTGAAAACCAAATGTTGGTCACTTTGTATACAGCTGATACTTGCTGTATTTAAAGCGGAATATCTGAAGAATAAGTAATGCTGAAACTAGATATGTACCTTGTTCCCTTTCAGTCGGTCACTCTCGACGTCACGTCGGAGGACCGACGAAATTGGGATCTCGCTTAGAGGGACCAATCTACTTCGAGTGTAAACTAAACGAGCCAATGCAAATTGGCATGTGATTATTGCATCCAGCTGCTGCTGATCACAGCGTGAGTATAAGTAGGCAGCAGGTGCAGCGCATATTCAGCTTTTCGCTTCG